CTACTATTAGAAATTACTGACATATGGATGTACTAAATGTGAAATGTTTTCTGGATAGAAATAAATGGTTCATAAGGACATCTAATGTTTCAAGCTGAATATTTGTCAAGAGTGTGTCCCATAATAACTATAAAATTATCAGATAATAATAAGCTATTAATCAATATCTATATAAGTACTATAACATTTTCTGTTATTTGTACTATGGCTTAGGAGAGACTTTTTTCCCTTCAAACTTACTTGATGAGATTTTGGTTGACCCAAGTTTTCTTTATAATTATTATTTCAATTAAGTATATTATGTAAAGACAACCTGAAATATCCTAATTTTTCCTGATATCCACGCAAACCAGTTAAGCCATTTTGGATCCAGAATTTCCTAAATCATAAGTCTCAGTCAACATAATCTGATTTGGAGGGATCACATATTTCTTGGCCTAATGCTTTACTGAGAACAACATTAAAGCAAAGACAGGTGATGAAAGCTCTCTTTTTTCAACATCTTCATAACCTGGTTGAAAATGATAGATTGGCTAGTTTATTGATTTAGGAATGATCAGCAATATTATTTTCCCTAAAGGAGTATTAAGATGATTCATAACAGATTTGAAACCTGATTTCTAGCATCCTGTATAAATGTGTACAAATTTATAAGTCTGACTCTAAATTTCTACCTTAGAAATAGCCTTTTATGCACAGGGAGGGTCTCAACTTTGAAGATCCCCAAGAATTTAGTGACTGCTTATACACACACACACACACACACACACACACACACACACACATACACACACACGTATATTGCTGGAGAAACAATAAAGTGTCATAGTTGAGCTTATTCTTAGATCTGAGTTAAAATACTACCTATGCCTTTCATTAGCTATGGATTTTCAAAGTTACTTAAACTGTATTTACTTCGATACTTATAAAAATGGTTAGTATTATTAACCTTTTCAGGTTTGGGTGAGAATTAAACATGCTAATAAATGCAAAACATATAGAACCATGCCTGGCAGAAAATAAGTACTCAATAAATGTTAGCATACAATATCATCTTTGTATACATTTCTCAATTTGCATTCTTATTTGTACCATGGACTCAACAGGCCCCTTCAAAGGTGAAATAAGTATGTGTTCAGTTTCTATTTTGGGTCTTCTGATTTAAACTTGTTTCCCAAACTGTAGTCATTCACTTACTATGTTTGTGAGTTTTTTCCATATTTCATACCATAAATTACTTATTTAACTATATTATTTAAACTTAAATAGCTTTATTTTAAAATAAAATATATTCATATCACTAGTAAGTGATTTTGGTGTGATACATTTTTCTATGAAACCTTAGGGTTTTATAAATCATTACAATGAAAGCACTCATCAGTTAAAATAATCTCTCATGCCCCTAATAATACGTACACCACACATTTCCAAACATTACCTTAAACAAAAGCTTTCTATAGGTGAGTGGAGGGGAATATTTAGAGACAATATTTAGAGCCCATAAGAATTTAGTAGTGGTCAGATGAAAGAGGGCATGGAGTTAGCCATAGAATAAATGGTCCAACGGACATAGTTAAAGGCCAAGTGCCCACTCATCAATGTTGTGGAGACATTTACTTGCTACTTCTCTAACACTTAAAACTTGAGGTTCTTTACTTTCCAGAAGAATTACTTTTGCCCTAAGACTGGAAATCTAGCTGGGTTTTAAGGAAATAGAACAAAAAAACTCCTTCCATCTTGGAACTCTTCCACTCTTGAAAGTTAAATATACGACATATGTATGAAATTTTCAGTGGAGAGTATAAATCTTAGTATAATGAGTAGTAATTAAGAGTAGTACATTCTAAATGTATAGCAAGATAAAATAAATTTCTGTTTTTAAAGAGGTTTAGATACCAAATGCATATATTCTTCCACTCCTGAGAAGAAGTTGAAGTATCAGTGGATAATTAATAAGTGTGAATTTTGGGTTTCTAGGATCACTCCCATTAACTAAGTAGTCTGCCCTCAGTTTCCTTATGCATAAGACCTTTCATTTAGATGTTAATTGAGCATCAGTTATGGGTAACATATTTAAGGTAATGCTAGCAGCTGTAAAATCCTCTAAAATAGATGAAAGTTCCAAAAAATAGAAGGCTTATTCTCACTTATGTAACAGTTAAATGAAAGTTTTCTTCAGGAACTCCCTCTGCAACTTTTCTCTTAAATACAAAATTATTCCACAATAAAAATTTACTAAAGAAAACAAAGTGAGTTTTACTAGCCTATGTATGGTTTTCCCCACATGGTGATTCAGAGTCCAAACTTCTTCCATCTTGCATCTTCATCCCTCCATAGGGCCTTGTTCATTGTTTTCCCAGCCAGGGTATGAGGACAGAGAGGACATGGAGGGGAAACACTCGCTGGTTAATAGCCTTAGCCAGGGAGTGGCTGGCATTGTTTCTGCTCACATCCATTGGTCTGAACTAGTCACATGGCCACTCCAAACTGCAAGGCAGGCTGCGAAATGTAGCATCTAGAAAAGAGGATGAAATTTTGGTGAACAGCCAGCCTGCCGTTCAGCCCTCCCTCCCCTTCACCATATAGCCATTTACACCTGTTTCGCAACACTTAGCAATCCATCCATCCACCTCCCCAAAGGACACAGCCTAAAGTCCCATCCAGTTACAGCATCAAACTCAAGTTTCAGAATCTCTAGTGATAAACAGCTCTCTCCATAAAGTCCAGGTTTTGTGGGAGGAGTGGGGAGACAGCACAGATAAGTGATTTAGAGCTTGAGATATAAGTTCTCTCTCCCACTTTCCCCACTGCATCAAATAGACAACAATGGAGCAACAACTTGGTACCTGGGAAAAACAAATAAACAAAAACCTTTCTCATTTGTAAAAGAAAAAATAGGTAAACAGCCAACAGTCACTGGATCAAAACAATAATTAAATCCTACTGGTCAGGCTCTGTGAGACAACTTCCCCGGAAGTTGAGACAGTCCCCGGCTCTCCTTTCTGAAATTCCCCATGGCCACTGTTCTCCAGGGTTTCTGGCCTGCTTTCTGAAGTCTCTTCCTTCTCAATTATCTCCCATAGGCCACCTGTGAAGCAAACACTGGGGAGAATTATCTCCTTAGATTTTTACTTTCTTCATAACCCAGTTTTCATAGAGCAAATGTGGGGCCCCAGGGTTGTATAGAGTCATGGAGTTTTTAGGCCAGGATTCTGATTTATTTTTTTATTTTTATTTTTTTGGTAAAACAATTCTCTCAAAATCTTCATAGACATTGATCTAATTCCTTCAGTCAGTTGCATGTGCCAGTAACCAGAACCAAAAACAATAAAGTGCTTTCCTAGACATAGTACTTAGGCCTGCTTTATTTCTTTAATTTCTTACACTGCCCTCTCTCCCTCTTTCTCTCTCTCTTTCTCATCCTCCTCATGCCCCTTCTTCCTTCCTTCTCTCTCTCTCCATGTAAATATGAAACAATATTAATGAGAGCTTCTGATTAAATTATAAAATAGTATAAGATTTGATTATAAATTATCTTTCTCTTTTTGTTTCATTGTAGAATCTGTCTATCATGCTTCTTCAGGGGAAAGAACATTGAGATTTCTTTTAATTTGTTTCAAAAGCACATAAAGAAAGTGATTTTTGAGTATTTAAACACATCTGGTTAATAATAGAAGACATGATACTTAATAGAACGTTGATTCTGAAAAAGCTGAGCTCACATCATCAACAAAAAACATTTCAACATGAAATATTTTGTGCTAGTTACAAATCACCTTGAAACATAGAGGTGTGAAACAATGTTTTTATCATGCTTAGAGTCTGGCCAAAAATTCAGATGAAGCACAGCAGGAATAGCTTGTTTCTACCCGACAATATATTTGAGGTCTCTTCGGGGAAGTTTGAACGTTGGGGGAAACTCAACGGCCAAAAGGCAATCGCCGGGAGTTCTTTATTTTATTTTATTTTATTTTATTTTATTTTATTTTTTAGAGTGGGATCTCACTCTGTTGCCCAGGCTGGAGTGCAGTTGTATTGATCATAACTTACTGCAGCCTCGAAATCCTGGCTCAAGTGATTCTCCCACTTGAGCCACTGTGGTAGCTAGGAACTGACTATAGGTGTGTGCCATCATGCTAGCTAATTAAAAAAAAAAATTTTTTTTTTGTAGAGTTAGAGTCTCACTATGTTGCCCAGGCTAAGGCTCTTTTTAAATTTAATATTCTATTTTTTAATTATTAGGGGTACATATTGGGTATATGTATGTATAGAGTAGTGTGATGTTTTAACACGGGTCTACAATATGTAATAATCAAATCAGGATAATTGGGGTATTCATTAACCTGAGCATTTGTCATTTCTTACTTCACATGTTCTCACTCATTTGGGAGAGCTATAAAGCAATTGATATCATAGAGACAGGGAATAGAATGATGATCACCAGAGCCTGTGAAGGGTAGAGGACTTCTTTATACTCACAAGCTTGGTGGTTGATGCTGGCCGTCTGCTGGAACCTCAGCCTTTCTATCAGTCGGAAACCTATAAGGCTTTCCATGTGCTCACTCTGTGGGTCTGATTTGGGTTTCCTCCAACATATTTTCCAAGAGTGAGGGTTCTCAGAGGACACAGGAAAATGTATGACATTTTTGTTTTCCAATCTTTGAAGTCATAGAGTGGAACTTCTGCTGTACTTTTTGATTAAAGCAGGCATAAGTTCTGCCCAGGTTAACATGAGAGAACACAGACGCCAACATTGGAAGGAAAGGGGTATCAAGGTTACATGGTAAGAAGAGAATTGGGTTTGAGATGTGGTTGCAGCCAGCCATCTTAGAGTACATATTTTATTCAATTTATTCAATGTCCAAAACATTTACTTCTCATTTTATATCTATTTAATTCACATGCTTGAATAACACTGAATAGGTTATTTTTATGTGTATTCTTACTAAACTCTATTAAGAAAAATTATGTAGTAATATCCAATGTCAATATATTTGCAGATATCCCGACACAGAAGGAATCATTCACAGCATATCTTGAAAGATGTCATTCCTCCATTGGAACAGTTGGTGAGTGGTTAAGTCATTATATTCTTCATCTACTGATACAAAATAAATTACCACAAAACTCAGCAACCTAGAACAGCATAGGTTATTATCTCATTTTTCTGTGGGTCAGGAATTGGGGCATCACTTAGTAAAGGGATCTAGCTTGGAGTCTCTCAAAATGTTGCAACAAAAGTGTCAGCCAGAATCGGGATCTCATCTGAAGGCTTGTGTGGGGAAGGTCTGCTTTCAAGCTCACTTATGTGGTTGTTAGCTGGGTTCAGTTCTTCCAGGAATGTTGGCCAAAGGCTGCTCTTATTTCTTTGCCACGTAGATTTCTCCAAAATAACAGCTTGTGTTTTCAAAGCATCCAAGATGAGAAGGCAAGAGGGAGAGTTTGCTAGCAAGATGGAAGTCAAAATCTCTTGTAACCTAATTGTAAAAGCAATATGCCATCACCTTTGCCACATTCTTTTGGTTAAAAGTAAGTCATTAAGTCTAGTTCACACAAGGGGAGAGGATTACAAAAGGATGTGAATAATAGGAACCAGAGACTACAGGGGGCTTATTGTAAATGTTGATAGCTTTTTGTTATTGTTGTTGTTGTCTTCAAAAACAATTAATAGACTCAACATCCATAAGAATGGCACTTTTTCCCATTTTTTTGTGTATTGTTGTATTCTAGCGGGTAAAAGAGTACCTGAAATATTATAAATAACATAAATAAATATAGTATTATAGATATCTTTAAAACACATAAGACCAACCTTTCTGATACCTTTCTTTTAATGACCTCTTTTTCAATAAATACAATGTGCTTTTCCTCCATACTCATTCGACTTGTCTTTCCTGCTATATTTCATATTGGTCAATATGCTTCCAGTCTTATTGGCTTACAGGATATTGCACCATGATGACTGTATTCCTGTCTATCTCTAGCTATTCCATCCCTGTTGTCTTTGGGATGTCCCATCCTCAGCACCAAAAATAATTTCTTTTTTTGCTTCAGTGTTCCTGTTTTCTATTACTTTTCATGTTCCAGATCCCACATCCTCACTCCAACTATTTCTGCTCACTCTGCTTTACTTTAGGATAAGAATTTCTCAAAATAATTATCTACATTTGCTGTTTCTAATTTCTGCCCTTCCTTTGTCTCTTGAACTAACTCTATTTAGGCTTTTATCTCAATCATTCACCTCCTATCCAGGTCACCGATTACCTCCGTGTCGTTAAATCCATCAGTAACTTCTCAATTCTCTCTTCAGTAGGTCTATCTGAGCATTTAACCCAATCGATAGCTCTCTTCTTCAATCAATTGCCTATTGGGTACCATGCTCACTATTTGGGTAATGGGTACACTAGAAGCCCAACTCCCACCAGTATGCAGTATATCCATGTAACAAATAAGCACATATATCCCCTGAATCTAAATTATTTATTAAAAAGAAACATTTTCCTAACATGGCTACCAGTAAACCACTTTCTCATGACTCTCCAATTAGCTGGAGAGCCACCTCTTTTCAATCCCTTTACAGGTCCCTCTTCATTTTGGAGCTCAGTTTTTATTTTTTCTCTCTATAATCATTCCCTAGGGCATCTCATTTAGTGTTGTAGCTTTACAGACGATGTAACACTAGCCACTTTTAAATTTCTATTTCCAGTATGGACCACAGCTTTGAACTTCAGTACTATAAATTCTGGCATTTTTACACACAATTCTAATATACATCCTAAACGTAGCATATCTGAAACTGATCCCAATTTTTGCCCAAACCAGTTCTCCATTTCAGAAGTCTCCTCCATTTCACAAGATGCTAACTTTGTTCCTCCAGGTGCTTCAGTCAAAACATTAACAGTCATCTTCCCTTGTTTCTGTCGTAACATAAATGAACATCAAAGAAACCAGTTTGCTCTATCTTCAAAATATATCCAGAATCAGTTCATTTCTAACCACCATTACTATCATCTGTCACCCAGTTTATTGAAATAGTCTCCCTGTTTACCAACTTCCACTGTCTACTGTTTATTTTCAACACAACAGCGGGAGTGATCCTGTTAAAATGTAAATTAGATTATGTTACTTAGATTAGTCAGTTTGTTACTACAACAGATACCACAGACAAGGTGACTTTTAAACAACAGAAATTTATTTTTCATAGATCTAGAGGCTGGAAGTCCAAGATCAGCATTCCATTCTGGTCAGGATCTGGCGAGGACCCTCTTCTGGGTTGCAAACAGCTGACTTCTCCTTGTATCCTCACATGGCAAAAAGAGGGCAAGAGAGCCAGGGTTCCCTTTAAAAAGCCATTAATCCTATTCATGAAAGTTCCACCTTTATGACCTAATTACCTCCTAATAGCATTACACTGGAGTTTAGGATTTCAACATGTGAATTTTAAGGGGAAATAAACATTCGGTCCATCTCACGTCACTCCTTGACTCAAAATCCTCCCTGGCTTTTAGTCTATCCCAGGTAAAAGCTGAGAAACATCCAATGGTTCACTAGGCCCTAGAAGATTCATTGACCTCCCCAGTCTCACCTCTCCCTTTCTTCTCCTCTCTCCTGTTCCAATGAAGCTGATACCTCTGCAGGGCCATTACACCTGCTTTTGCCTCTATCTCTTACAAAATAATTTATTTGGTGCCCAGAAATTTGGATATCTCATATGTTCCTTTGCTTCACATCTCTGCTCTAATATCACCTTTTTAGATAGGTCTTCCCTAATCTCCCTTAAAAAAAAAATAATGAAACAAAAACAAACAAACAAAACCCATAGGGGCCAGGTGTGGTGGCTCATGCCTGTAATCTCAGCACTTTGGGAGGCCGAGGCAGGGGCTCACTTTAGGTCAGGAGTTCAAGACCAGTCTGGCCAACATGGTAAAACCCCATCTTTACTAAAAATGTACAAAATTAGCCAGGTGTGGTGGCACTCACCTGTAGTCCCAGCTACTTGTTAGGCTGAGGCACAGAATCGCTTGAACCTTGGGGGTGGACGTTGCAGTAAGGCAAGATTGTGCAGAGAGAGATAAACAAAAAACAGAAAGGAACCTACAAATGAACAAACAAGAAACCACACCATTTCCATCCACACTACTCTCTTACCTTAATTTACTCTATAGACCTTACCACCAGATGGCATACTACAGCATTTATTTTTGTTAGTTTGTCACCCCATTAGAATTTTAGTTCTATGAGGGCAAGGACACTGTCTCCTGTGTTCATTACTCCATTCCCATGACTACAAGCATTGCTAGAACATGTTAAGGACTCAGTAAATATGTGTTGAAGGAAAGCATAATTAAAATTTAATGGTCTTTGTTTTTACTTCCAAGCTTGTATTACACAGGTCTACGCTTGTATACTTTCTCTCCTTTATCTTATCCTATGTCTCTGAGTGTAAATTAGTCATTTGTTCTAGGATGTCATCTGTGTCATTATAGAAATGAAGTCCCCCAAGTTAAACCCTTCATCAGTGCCTTCCCAAACTGATTCCCTCTTTCCACTGAGCCCATCTCTATTAGTAGCAAACATTTATCTAGGATTAGAACACATTTTCTTTATGTTCTTTTTCTCCCTGGCCCATTGGATAAGTCATCATTTTCTAATGAAATTTCTCCTCAATGGTTGTAGTGCCCACATGCTTCTCCTTGTGCACCCCCAAACCCTCACCCAAGCCTTGAAATGCTTCTGACCTTATGGTACCCTCCCATCCCCGCCACTGATCCTAGGCAGCAATTCCAGAGCAACCTTCTTTCAATAGCACTTTCATTATTTCATTTTCAAATTTTCTATAGCATCATGGTCCCCAATTTACGTTATTTATTATCCTCTCTCAAACACATACCCTCAAGCCAGGAGTAGTAACATGATTAAGACATGGCTCTTACCCTGAAGGAGCTTGGATTTCCTGTAGCAATTATAGTCGTTTCATCCCAGCACATGTTCATGCGTTGCTTTGTATTGTTCACTCCTATTTCATAGGTAATAGACTTGTTCCACGGCTGGATTGTAAATGTCTTGAAGTTAGAGGCTATGACTTGTACTTTCTTTATTATATTGTACTTCTACTTAGATTGCTTTTGATACTAGTACTTGTTCAGGAAAGACATGTTTGTGAATTGATGTAATAAGAAATTAAAAGTTTATTAAAACAATGTTGCTAGTTGCAGATATTAATAAATATATGCCTAACATTTGTAGTGAAAGCCATTTTTTCAATATAGTTAGATATACTAATATATTGTTTTCAAAATTAATTATGTGGATCTCAACTTAGCATTTTCCCTAGGAAGGATTTCTCTAATTCCTTAAATTTTAATTAGTAGCCCTTCTTTGATCTGTCTCTCAATAGCAGCTGGGTCTTGACTCTATTCCAGCCCCATCACACTAAAATTGCCTATTTCCTTTATTGCTCTTACTGAGCTATAAGCTATTTGAAGGGAGGACTATGTCTTATTTATTGTTTTACTATTAAGACTTCATATAAAGGCTGGCACACTGTAATTCTCCAATAAATAGGAAAATAAATGATTTATTTGTTTGGTTTTATTTTAAATAAATTTGGATTACACAGAAAATAAAGTACAAAAATAATTATAAAGAGCTGGATTATTCTGTAAAAATAACACATAAAAAGTTTGCTCTGAAGTAGTTCATGAAACATGGCAAAAGTTAGGCTGAAAATGGAGCTCAGTAGATGTCTGTGTTTGTGTGTGTGTCTGTATGTTTATACATAAAATATATATGTACTTATATTTCAACAGTGCCAAAATGTGCCGCAAAGATTTTTACATAAAAATTATAATATATAATATATATATAATCCAAATTATGGTTATTTAAAAAATTAATCAAAAATTATTATATAATTTTTTAATTGTGAATTTTCTATGCCACTGTATCAAGCATAAACTAATATCAGAAGAACCATTAGAATATTCAGAAATAGTTTTCTTAATTTACCTGCCTACACTTAAGGCTATTTGTTGATTTACTTGCATATAGCAGGGTTTCTCTACAGCCT